ATTCCCTAATTTCACGAGTATACCATTTGATTACCTATTAATATCATGGGTGACGAATTACGTTAGCAATCTTGGATTTTTGACATGTTTATCCTGGATCATATCGATCAAGAACTCTACTCTTTCAAATGTTTAGACCTTAAATTTGACTTATAAAGTTCAGAATTTTTCAGACTTTTTCGGCAAAATACCTGTTAGAATCCCTCTTGATGTTCTCTTGTGTGTGCAGGTTTTCTAAAACGTCTTTTTGTGCCCTGACATCTTCATTCACGGCATTTTAAAACTTCGTCGCCATCTTGACACTGAGATGTACGGAAGGTTCCCATGGCAATTTTGTAATTTCACATTTGAAATTACAAATTAACGCTGAAATTTCGCGCCAAAATTAAGGAGTAATTCGTCACCTATGATATTATTATTAATATACCCCCTGTACTTTGAAAGTACTGGCACATAATTATTGTTAATCTGATTTTGATGTAAAAGATTTCTCTGTTGAACACAGATTGGCACTGCTTTTTTTCCCAACTAACAGCACTTTGTATAAGAGTCTTTATACACTTAAAACTTCGAAAACTGGTCAGTATGACACCAGTGTGCCACAGTTTGCCAGCACGAAAACTTAATTGATCAAACCTTAAACCTGTTTGCTATAGTATCTCTTCTCAACCTAAACAAGAATGAGCTGTTTAATTGACCCTTTAATAATAATAATAATCATGCTAAAAGTAAATTATAATTGTCATAAAAATTATCCCAGAATCCTTTGAGACAATTTTTTTGTAAGCTTTATAACTTTGTCAATTTCATACGTAGAAGAATGTAAGACCACAACAAGATAACAATTGCCATAAAATATCTTCCCATCTCAGATACAGGGTGATGATGTCATCAGTCACGTGACTATTTTCAAATTTGCTTTTTCTGTTGCTGTGACAAGATTTCATTATTGGGTTAAAAGCAAATAGCATATTTGAGGTTTTGGTTCTGTGGGGCATTTAAAAATAGCCAGGTTACGTCTGGTATTTAAAATTCAAGGGGGTAAAGAACATGAGCGAAAAAGTCGGGAGACTAGGCCGAGGGCTGTAAACAACCTCGTCCCCAGGGCTTTTCCCTTAAAAAATGGGTGGGGCCCCACCTATTTTTTAAGGGAAAAGCCCTGGGGACGAGTTTGGGCTGTAAATAATTGACGTTTCATCACATGGCAGAGAAAATTTGCAGGAAAGTAATGTTCTACCTGATAATTTTTCTCATGACCAAATGAGGGACGTGACGTCATCAGTCACGTGATCAGAGCGTTTTGAATATTTTAGTTCGTTTTTAAAGCACATTTTTCGAAATCTTTTTGTGGAAATCTTTACACTGTATTACCCTTGTGTAATTATTATTCCATTTTCCAAGCAGAAGGGAACGAAAACTGAGCCAGAAGTTTAAAAGTTGCATAAATTGACCGATATTGCAAATTAAAATCGAAAAGGAGACCTTCCCTTGAGACTTTTGTAAAATACTTTTTTTCAACTTGACTGTTTGTTTGCCGAAGTAAATGTTCAACTTTGTTAAAAAAGGAGAACTTAAAAATTAATAGGATGTATTTGGCGGCCATATTGTTTTCTTCAATCCGGGGAGAGGGGTCATATAGCAGTTCTTCTAACCCTAAAAGCCAAATGGTTTGCTACCCTAACCTAAAGCAGTGGAAATAATGATGAACAATGTTCTGTAGCCGCGCGATCGATAGTTCATAAATTTCTTAAACGTTCCCCGGCATGGAGCCAGCCCGAAAGAGTATTCACTGAAAGGGCTAAAAAGGGTGTTCGTTTTAAAAACATTGCTATTGCGCTGTCGGTTTAATTCATTGGGTAGTAAGTGATTGCGTCGACAACCAGTTAAGTATTACAACCGCCTTTTCTTTGGTATTGTCAAAGTTATCCTCTGCATTCTTTATAAACTCTCGCAGTGCTTTTGACTGTTCCTCAGTACGGTCGTTTCTCCACACAAACTGACAGCTGAACTGAGATGGCGTGGAGTTGCGTCGTTGGTAAGTGCTGTGAAGCTTTGCTGTCCGACGCCTGTTTTCGGGCAGATTCACGGTTCGCTCAGTAAGCTTCGTCTTACTAGACGTGTTCATTTTTCTTTCCCCTTCTTCAACATTCCTCTTTATTCGTCCTTCTGTACAAGGTAGCTCGATGTCATTATTTGATGAGTTGCTGCGATGCGATGTGAACTCACTGGCAAACCTTGAAAATTCTTGACTGTAGCTGGAAGGTAAAATGGGCAGAGATTCCCAGGCGACTTTCAATTCAGCTGGACAAGGGAATAGACTCGGCTGCAAGCTTGGCCTTCTTCGTCGAGGTCCTATAACTGGTGCTCATGCTCTTCGTACTAAACGCTTCTTTCGCATTTATAACTTTCCTTTACTTTTGCCAGTTCAAGACAAAATGTGGATACCTTTAGCATGGATTCGAAGTAATCAAGATTATTGGCAAGGAACCCATAGAATTCAGTTATCTTAAATACTGCACACAAAAGACCGGCAAGTATAGTTGTTCCGACCAGCTGTGATCGACAATGCACAAATAACAGCTGATGCGCATGTAGACTTACTACCAATACCCCAACATGTGCAACGTCATGTGCGGATCACGTGGCAATACTTCACGAGCAGAAACTAACTGGCTGTAGCTTCTCTTTCTCTAAGGTTTAAATCTTGTATGAGGTAAACATAAGCAAATATTTTTTAACATACTACAGTTAAGGAAAACAAATTTTCTTTGAATTTTCATTGCAAACGTTTACTATTTAAGCAGTAACATGCACTTCGAAATTTTGTTCACAGGCTTGAAGTCATTATGTAACAAATGGTAGGTGTGCGTCAGGGTCGTCAGAACTTACGCTCTACAGATACTCTTCTGAAAGTAATTAATCAAATTAAATTTGTTTGTTTGCTCAGTTCTTATTAGACCCTAAAAGCTATTTCCAAAGGTATTTCCAAAGTCGTGAGTTACACGATTGGGCTTTCAAACCCCCCTGAATGTTCAATTGCATTAACAACAATAACCTCATGAGGTTCAGCCTGGGTGAGCGATAAAGGTTGTGAGTCCACCAATGTGGCCCGAGTTTTAGTCCTAGTGTTGTCGTCATGTGTAGGTTGAGTTTGTTGTTGGCTTTCGTCCTGGTTCGGGAGATTTTTCCCTGAGCACTCTGGTTCCTGCCTCCCCTTCTCTCTCCCCCCTCCCCCTCCTTAAGATACCAGCACGATCTGGAACGCACGAACGAGTTCTTTAGAAGTCCTATAAGACCTATAAGTGTTTCGTGTTTGAAAAAGTTACACTACATTACAACCACTGCTACATGTCGCACGAATTACAAGTTAAAGGCACCCACAAATAACCTTTAGCCCGCTAAATGGCCTTCCCGTGTCGCTCGACCCTTACAACGCCCTATTGATCAGTTTTTGTCCGTATTTCTTGAAGAACGAAACGGTGTGCAAATAAAAGTGGATCCTTTTAGGTATCTCATTTTACCTTATGTAATTAAAAACTTTTCTCAGTTGCGGCGATATTATTCAAATCATATCTTCACAAAATTTGCAATCGACAAAAATCGCTAGCGTAAGACCTTTTTCGTTTGGTCTAAAAATAAGGGGGGGGGGGGGGGCCTTCCCGGTTTTCACGCGGAAAAGACCAAATAAAAAAACTGTAAGGACAAAAAAGACAAAAACTGGAAAAACCACAAGATAAAAAACCACAAAACTCCAAAGAATGAAGCGAGAAAACACCTGTAAAAAAAAACAGCAGTGAAACTCAAAAAAGAAACAATTCTTGTATATTATACATTTGTACTAATAATATTATTTGTCGTGTGGTGTGTATATATACTAAAATGTGCATCGCATATTGGTCACAAAAAAAAACGGGTGCGTGTGGTATTTTTTGTTTTGTAGAAAAAAAGGGGGGGGGGGGGGGGGGGGGCCTCCTCTGGATCCACCGCTGAAGAGTACAAGTACAAACGGTCAAGGGGCAAAAAGGTAATGTTTATATCAATCAGAAATATATAGCCACATGGCATTGTAGATATTAAATCAATAAAGGGAATAGACGAACTGGTAGTTGCATGTGTCGCAGACCATAGCAGACGTAATCTGGCCCCGGTTAACCAGAAGTTTAGTGGCTTGCTAATTCGGAGCAGAGCAAAGAAAAAGGAGGGTAAATGGACCGGACCTATCCAAACCCCATCCCAATTTCTCAAAGCTCATATAAAAGTACATAAAATATCTTATAGTTTACATAATCTGGAAAAATATTTTGTACACTACTGTTTTCCGTTACAATATATCGGCTAATGCAGGAAGGCCACAGTCACATAAAATGTCGTAAATCTCCCCTGCAGGCAGGTGACGCTGATTTGCGATGTAACTAAACAGAGCTTCAGCTGGGTTCCGTGTGCGTCTATCGAGGTAACGAATTTCTTGAGAAGTTAAACCCAGTTTCTCAGCAACAATCATCCACTCGTTGTCTCCTGAAACATTAAAAACGCGAAAAATGCATTTGTACATAATTATATATTGTACAAGTTGTCTTCTCTTCGTACCGCGTAAAACAATCCAGCACATCAAATGACTTGAGTTTAACACGTACTTATTTTTATTTTCACAAAAGTGTTGTAAATTGCCAGCAGTCTTGAGCATGCAGTCTGCTTCATTTGAAAATATTTTGTCGCATCGCAGTTGCTTACCAATGGACACACCCAAAGACATGAAAGTTGTCGGGATACAATGTGTGACTGCAGTTTAAGCTAATTCGTGTTTACCCGATGGCTGACTTGTGAGTAATATAAGGAACAATATTTTGTTTGTTTGTTTGTTCGTTTGCTTTCAAATAAGATGCATAGAGAGTGGCTAAGAGTTAAAGGGAAGATGTGTATGCTGGAAATGACTACACTATTGAGACGTAAGAAGCTTTTTCCAATCATACCACATAAAGCGATGGTGAGGTTTCTTAACAAGGAGAGAGGAATTTCTTGCACATCAAGATCTTCACTTAACAACGGACCTTGAAAAAAATCAATCAACACAAACATTACCATCTATTCCCAGTTTTTAAGTATAATTTTTATACACATTCCGCCAAGGATACACGGGTACCTCTAAGAACCTTGGAGTTAATTAATTGGCTTCATATAACGTACGTTATATCGGCGGAAAACAAATAAATAAGTATAAACTATAATAAAATTGATTCAGCAGAAAAGCCTGAGAATACAATTGGACGAACCCTTTTGTTCCGAGGGTGATATATATTTATAACTGCCAAATTTTAAACTTACCGGTTGTTCCAGCCAGCGTCATTTCTCTTAGGTGTTTGAATACATCAACCCTATTTGAAAGCTTGGCTTTCCTTGCGAAACAGCGGATCAGTTGTTTAGTTTGGCAATCTGGCTGTTCAAGAGAGGATTGGTCCGACTGGAGACTTTGTTTTAACTGACAAACAACTTGTTCCGAATCACAAGATCCGGTCGTAAGGGCTTTCAAGACACCACCTGGGATAGCTATGGCCTTCTCCCCATTTCCTACGAAATAAACGGAGTATGTTTAGAAGCTTTTAGAGTGTGTTTTAATTTTCGTAGCCACGCCCAGGCGCAAGGTGATTGATTTGAGTGTCTTTATGCTTCCCAGATCTATTTTTGCTTTAGCACCTACTGAGAGGGAGAGGTAAGCCATTGGTCTTGCAAGTCGTGGGTCCGTCAGGCTACACAGCTAATCCCTTGGTGTGGATAAGGAAACTCTTAGTAAAAGTTTCAATTCCTTTTTTTTGTTTTGTTTTTTGTTTCTGGCTCTGATTTTTATTCTGGCAAAAACAATCATTTTTTGATAACCGTCACGAATCACCTTATTTTAACCAGATCTTTCGCCTTATGCCCTCCGTGACCAAGTGTTTAGATGTTTGATAACGGCCGGTATGTAAGATATTAGTTAGCATAGTGAAAAAAGTGTATCATATTCATAAATGTTAAGGACGATCATATATCTGTTCAGACAAAAAAAATGTTCAAAAGCTCCCATAGGCACCAATCATGTCATTCACCCTGGATAAAACGCTTAATACATGCCTTAAGGTACATGCACGTATTTATTTGTATTGCTTTAGAAATTACTTGCGAGGACCAGTACCTTTGTTATCCGCAAAGGGCCTTTCATCAGGTTCACGGACTTCGAGCTGTGGGAAATACATGTGAGTTTTTAAGGATTAATACTTGAATGATCTGGCCAGTGGTTACTTGGTAAATTTGACACTTTGCGCTTTTGTTATTTCAGGAAATTGGAAGCTATAAGAATGAATCCTATATGGTTTGTGACACAAAATGTTTGTCAATGTTTACGCTAAGGCGTTTCACTTAAACCATTAACTTTGAGGTTACACAAAATGCACGGCCTTTTTGGATCCGCCATCTTACCATTTCTTACGATCATCTAATGTCGTCAACTCCACTTCAAGATTTAACTCAACATTTTGTACAACTTACTGAAAATGCATAGTCTACGTCAAAGAGGCCACGTTCCGCTTCAGCAGGACATTGATAGGTTGGAAGCTGCTTAATATGATGTACCTATATTCACCAATTAAATGGCATTTTAACCGTTTAAATATCTTAGAACATCTTACCAGTTGTTCCTTAAAGGGAAGCCAAGGTGCAAACTGCTGCACCTGAATTCTGGTATTTTTAGCTAGCGCAGATCTGGTACAAAACACGACTTCCTTGGAACGGTACAACTCGGTAAGAGACAGGAAGTGAAGGCACTGCTCTTCTTTGCAGTCTTCTTCCTGATGAGTTTCACAGTAGGCAACTGATCCTCGCTTGCAGCAAACTGGACATATAACACTCATTTGATATTTCATATTTTTTAACCAACAAAACTCTTTACGCATGCACTCAAGCGTAATACCCAATTGTTTTCTCACAAGAAAACAATAGTTAATTCCAGCATTGTCGTGGTAGAAATGTGGGGTTGGTGACAACTTTGATGACGGATCATCATTAAATTCAGGGTTGCAGTTCCCTCCATGAATTACAATCTCAACTGTTGACGAGTTGCAAACCAAAATAACGGAGTAGTCATCTTTAGTAACGAAAAACCTGGCAAAATTATTGAACAAACGAAGGTTTTCCTTTCTCCACAGTCTGTCTTTGCCCCAATGAAACAACTGCAGTATTAACCTTGGGAAAAACCCTGGAGGGACTAGACCACTCTCGAATTTAATATACATAGAAGGTAAATTTGCAGAGGCAGCAAGCTCAGCTATCTGTTTCGGTGGGGGCGACTTCAACATTGAAGGAACTAGGTAGCTCTTGTAATTGCTTGTTGCATCAGATGGCCAAGAGCACAGAAGGCAAAATTTCTCCATGATTTCAATGAGAGTGCCGCAAGTTTCTTTATCATTAAACAAAGGACCCCAAACATGTGCTAAAAGATTTTCATCCAGAATTCCTTTCTTCTCAAGCTTAAGCCACGAATCCAGGAATTTCTTGTCTACAGCATCAAATTGCTTGATAGTTATCACCTTTTTAAAGACGTCAATTAACCACTGTGGATTCAGTACTATGATTTTATTCAGCTCAGTAGTATGATCAAAATGAATCAAGCACCTTAAGTCATGCAAGTAGTTTATCAAGGTCGTGAACTCTTTCTCCTCATGGATTTTGCAGATCTCTGAGGCAATGTCTTTTGCTGTTTCCAGAGAAATGCATTTATATCCCTTTTTCTTCACAGCTTGAAGCGCCTTCTCAAATCTTAACCACTTGATTGGAATGGAATCCTTCATGTGTGGAAGTTCTTTAGCCGTTTTAAGTATTTCCTGTCGCAAACGTGTGACTTCAGGGCAGTGAGAGGTTTTGACTCTCAGGCTTGTGTTATCTACAAAGAATACACCACACAAATGGTCACCATATGGTTTGCCCTTTAGATAACCAAAAATTTTAAGAGAAAGTTCTTTAGGGTCTTGGCCACCGAAAGGTTTGTCAGCATGCGTGCATACCAGGAAAACGGCAGGAAGTTTCTTTGGCAACGCATCTGACGTAAAGTAGTGTTCTTCGCCACTCGTTAACGACGTCACAGACGTCATCCAAAAATCAAGGTAATCTAAATTAGTTTTGAGACTACCACTTTCTGACATTGTTCCATATACCCCTTGTTTTTTCAGGGGCTTTGCTTTGCCATGCGGATCTAAGCTTAGGTCATTCACTAAGCAGTAAATAGCTCGTGCTGTAAGAAACAGTGGGTGCGTCACATAGAAAACGGACTGCCCGGCAAAATCCCAGAAAGTAGAATAAATGTCGTCTCTGTTGTCGTCCAAATGGCCACAAAGAAATGATTCCGTTATAGCTGCTACCTCTTCGAATTCAGGCCAGTTTTTAGTAGAGAGGTTCACTTGTTCTTGATTCTCATCTGTTGAAGCCAAAGGGGGTGTAACATTAGGCCCAGGATCACCTAGATAGGGAAGTGTTTCTCTAGATGCCCCTAAAATCTCTCTACTTTCCAACTGCACATTTGATGGTGAGTCAGTTGACCCTTCATTGACGTCGGAATAATAACCTTCTTCCGCGGCGGTAAAGAGCTCGGCCCTTTTTGTTTCCGTCTCTAAGCTATTCACAATGTATCTGGCCGTGTGATAATCGCAGGAAGTTGCTGTGTCTGAATTTTGATCATCATTACTCGTTCCTGTCTTCCATGACTCTGTTGACACTTTGAAATAAGAAGGATCCACATCTATTCCAACAGTGCTACCTTCATGTGGGTCAAAGCATACTCCTTTCAAAGATTTCATTAAGCTAGTCTTTCCTGCTCTGTGTTGTCCGATCAACATCAATGGAAGCCTTTTGTCAGACGTTTTCCCACTGGCAAGAGCCCTTTTATAAGCTTCCACAGCAGAAGAACCTCGCGCAAGAATCTCTGGGGGAACTGCAATAGACCAATGATATTAGTCGAAAATTGAAAAGTGTTTTACATAAAGAGACTTAGCTCCTCGAGTAACTTAAGGTAAGTCGTAGGCCAAAAGTGGAAACAAGATGGGTATCACTATTTTTTGGGTAGTCAAAGCTAATGTGTAGATCCACCTTTGACAGGATGTGTGAATGATCGAGTAAAGGAATGAGAAAAAAAAATTTGGCTTTACGTAGATAAAGGTACTTAATTTAATAATACAGTTTATCGTGTTCAGTCAAAAGATGTTCCCATTCGCAGTTATAATGTACTCATACTTAACCTTTGCCTTCTTGAAATCACGCTGTTCCTGTTGTTAAAACTTGGAATGCTCTATCGCCTAGTATACTATATCACCAATTCAGGTGTGCATTTTAAATAACATGTGGGTTGGTGTACAAAGAGAAATGTACAAGGAAAAAGGAAGTCGCTGACAGAAGTGAGTAACGTCAAATAAGCAATTATTACACAGTGAAGAAAACTTAATTCATCAGACATATGATTGTACTTACTTTTGTCATGGAATAAGAAGGCTTGTGCTTCTTTAACAAACTCCAGAAACTCAGGCAGTTTCTCAGTTATAGCCTTTGGTTCCCAAATTCCGCCACTCAGTAGAGTATCCCAGTCTTTGTAGTGCACATGGACGTCAGTCTACATGTTGATGGAAATACACACAACGGGAACATAATGGTTCGCAGTATCTATTGGGTCGATTGGGACAGCTTAAGATAAAGATTACAAGTCCTTGATAAACGCGACTCGGGAGCCGGCTTAGCGCATTAAATGTACCGAGATTGATTATCAAGAAAATAGACCTTTTTACCGATACGGCTGCCATACTCAGAGAATAAGTTAGATTTAAGGAGTATCATGGGATGACCAGGGGGCACGAGCACATTCCGTTTTTTTCTTAAAGTTTTCTTAGAATAAGATTGTAATGGGAGAAAAGATCATTGTGCCGTGTTTGGATGAAGTAATGAAGGCCTTTTTCAATGAAAGACCATATTACTAATACTGAGCGGGTACAACGGATCGTGCTTATGCCCCCTGGGTATCCCATTGCTCCTTAATCGAATTAATTCAATATGGCTGCTGTATCGGTAAAAAGGTCTATTTATACGATGAATATGCGTTTGTCAACCGGTTAATGCGTGCAACTCCCCGACAAAGAGAAATGATTATGTTTCAGGAAACGATAGCCAGAAAAAAAGTATAAACAAATATGTCCTATTATGCTTACTCCGTAAACTAGGACACGGTTATGTAAAATATCCGAGCTCGAGGCATGGAAGTTCGTTAGCCCCATTCCATATTTCAGAACGTTTCATAAGCAATAAAAATGCTATACTGGTTTAATTTTGATACCGGTAAAACTATTGCTATGCATTTAGCGTGGAATTCGTAGTCATAAAACAGATCGGACCATTGCTGTTCATATAATCGAATACACCTTTTCGCATCGAGAAATTAACGTGAATGTGACGTCTTAAGAATATGTTATTTAAATACCGTTTGTCTGATCTCATCTGTTCCAAAGTTCCACGCCTGCTCCTTAGAGAGGATGATGGTAAATCCTACACTTGAAGTGTACTCTGTTCGTTTAGAACATCGCTTATGTATGAGATGAAATCCCTCGGGTATATCTGCCTTCGGTATATGAAGTCCCATAAAATCCTCATCTATCAACGTCAGCCCGGATAGGTATGCTAAAAGAGCATCTCGCACCCTTTCGTCTGGCGCATAGTCAATGGCCTGTGGGCTATCTGTGAGATACCAAACATCCTAAATGAGCACACACTGTTCTGATATGAAGGGTAGCAACAACTGATAACTGTCGAACAAGTCGCTAAACGAATAAATGAATAATATGCTTATTGTCATCGTCCGAAGGTGTTTCTCTTTAATAAGACAGATGTAACTCCAAGGAAAAAATTTAAAAAGTGCTCAGCAGCTGATCAAAACGTTTAAAGATATTCGTAACAGTTTCATCTTGATAAGTTCCCAGATGGTTCAAATTCTAAATACTTAGTGACACCTCACCTGTCCGTCCACAAATATGTAATCTGCAGTCAAATTCGCAACCAGGAAACAAAATGTCGGCTTGAAGATATTTCCGAGACTTAAGAACCAGCCATCCTCGGCACCTGGACCGTGTATTTTCATCTTTGAAGTGAATCTCACCTAAGATGTTCTTCACATCACTAAATGGAATTGGTATGTCTTCCAACGTTTGTTTCGTGTTCTCGTTGGCAACCCATACCTGCATCAAGAACGATGGGCCACAGTTAACTTATCAAGCCGCTGTTTTCCTTAGCTACTTTCTCGACATCTTTCAAGTTGGAAGAGTTGCCTAGATAAAAAAAATCATTCTCACGATGCCTCGAGATGCTGCAAGCTTTTTATTTCGCGCGCGTCAGAGACCTACTGCTTACAAGAAGTGACAAATTCTGAACATAGGCTGTAGTTAAAAGCAGCTTTTTCCATTGTAACAGAATGACTGAGAAGTACTATTCGTTGTGGGGCTGAGAATTGCGCTAAATGTGGACGCAATTCTCAGCCCCACAAAAACGGCAAATAACTCAGAAACTGTTGGCCACAAAGACCTTAGATTTGGACAAGTTGTTTATATTAGTAGTCTTGTATAACATTTCATTTACTTAGCTTCTTTCACCGGACGGTTTCCAATTTATTTTTTTCTGCCGTGTTTATTGCGTGACAGTGAAAACGAAGAATATATCCTTAGTTTTGGTTTTAGGCAGCGGTCAAAAGTGATTACTCAGTGGCGCCATACCTTACATCGTAGTTGATGCCAACACGGTGAGAGAAATGTTAAATCATATCTTGTTGCATATCCTATCTCCTCAGGGAACCTTTCTCTGTAATACCTTTTTAAAGTTATTTCATTGAGATTTACTCCTTCTAAATTAAACGAACGTTTCCAGGGATGCTGGCGAAACTTTCCGGTGGCCTCTTCAATGCTCCACTGATCATCTCGAATATTCTCTAAGAAAGGAAATAAAGAAAACCTGGACTATGAATTAATTCTGATGTTCATAAACAAGAACGAACAACTCAATCACAACTCGAACACAGCACCACCGAAAACAAAGTCTCTCAACCACAACAACTCAATCACAACTCGAACACAGCACCACCGAAAATAGTCAGGTGGCTAAAGGCTCAGATCTATACAGAGCGGACAAAAGCACCAAACTTTGCATGGTTGTAGCTTAGGGCTTGTTAGTCAATATTAGGATCGGTGCCCACAGCTACCTCTTCTGGTTTTGCAGCAACTGCTTGCTGAAGTTCTTCAGCAACCTTCCATGATGGGTGCCCTGTGCTGAAAATTGCAATCCCTTGTTTTTCGCCATTTTTTGATGAAAATCACATAAAAAGGCAAGTAGACGGAAAAAGAAACTGTACTAATACTATTATTATTGAAAACAATGACTAAAACAAGTCAAATTGATGATATAGCAATAATGATAGACCATGGTGGGTTTCCTGTGCTAAAAATATCAATTCCTTGTTTTTTGCCATTGTTTTGATGAAAATCACATGAAAGAAATGAAAATGAGAAAAGAAATTGTACTATTATTGAAACCAATGACAAAAACAAGTTAACTAAATGGAAACTCCAGGGAAGATGTTTTCAGATGCGTGCCCAGTCCCAAATGGCCTTAAAAAATAGCGGCTTGAAGGTGTCTTTTCATTAAATGTAAGTTTCTGCGAGAATAAATTGCCGTTTTTTAGGGAAAATTGTGTACAATTTAATTCACGACAGGTTTAAGTGAAGCTTTAAGCTCTTCTTGGTGATAAATGTGTTATCGAAAGCCATATTTTCGCTTCATATTTTGTGACGATTATGAATGACCGGCCTAGTCCCTAGGCGTTCTCTGTTGTCCCGTTGTCCGCACGAAGTCTGGGAAAGGGCGGGCGAGAGAACGGCGTTCTCGGCGTGTATCTCTCGGTGACGTCACAGCTCACGGTAGAGTCCAGGATTGACCGAGCCGAGAACGCCTAGGGACTAGGCTGATGAATTACTATACTGAGTTTATTTTCTTACTGGTTATTTATATTGTCATATTTGCCAAGAATCAACAAAAGAAGATCTGAGAAGCCCATTGGTTTAACGTACAAGCATTTAAAGAACGCCCCTTGAAAATGTACTAGAATTCAGGAAAGAGAACTGTTTTCGGGTTGCAATTAAGTTTGATTATGAAATCACTACAGTAGTAAAAATGCAAAGAAGCAGCAATCCTATCACCTCAAGTTTAGCAAGTCCAAGTTAGAAAAAGCAAGAGAAAGGAGAAGCAAGCATGTTGAAGCAGACCAGAAACAGAAAGACAGGAAGTTTCAGATTGTAGTTAACCAAACTAGCTCGGAAGGTTGACACTAGTGGGACCACAAATTGTGTGATATGAAACGAAGATGATGGGAGCCACCTATACAGTTTCTGTACATTGAAAGCCGACAGAAACCTAAGACGTATTGACGACGATTTACCGGACTACGGTCCTTCAAGAATATATATGGTGGTGGTTGCCATAGATTCAAAATATAATATGCGCTGTTCAACTGACTTGCGAAATAGGCATACATGTCGGAGGAACGCAAGAAGAAAATTGAAGCAGCCTGGAAGGCCGAGGAAGACGAGGAATTAAATAAATCAAGAGCATTTGTTGAACTCACTGAGTACATAGCAAATGCAGTGGAGCATGATACACATTTCTTTATACTTGCCAAACTTCATATTAAGCTGTATTCGTTACATACAAAGGCACACACCTTGCAGTCCCACTAGTGTCAATCTTCCAAGCTCGTTTAGTGCCACAATCTACAACTTGCTGTTTCTGGTCTGCTTCAACAAGCCTGTTTCTCTTTTCTAGTTTGCTTTAACTAACTTGGACGAAAGGTGACAGGATTGATGCCACTTTGTATTTGTTTACGACTGTAGTGATTTCAATTTCAAACTTAGTTGCAACAAGAACACAGTCCTCTTTCTTGGATTCTAGTAAATTGTCAAGGAGCGTCCTATAAATAATTGTACCGTTAAACCAGTTTCTCAGATGCTCTCTCTTCGATTCACACCCTTGCTAAATATGACAACGATCCCAACTAATTTCCATCTTGGTGTGTATAAACGAGCTGAAATTCAAGCACGATAAGACTGAAATCGTGCTTATCTTGTCGATGACACGTACTCGTCCATCCTTTAGCGACTTCATTATGGGTAATACAAGGCCAAGAACCACCGCCAACAAAGCCTGAGAATAGTATTTGATGACAACGTGCTGTTTGACGCACACGTCTCAACATTCGCAGAATATCGTTTTACCAGCTCCGGAACTTATCAAAGATAACAAGGAGTCTCACACAAGCGTCTAGCGAAATTGCTGTGCGTGCTTTTATTACATCTAAACTAGACTATTAATTGCAATTCACTGCCCCCAGGATCGTTACTCGGACTTGTAAACTTTGTGAACACATTATTTATCTAACCTTCACTGGCTTCGTGTTAGTTACCATGTTGTCTTTAACTTTTTTTTGTCAGTTTTCAAATCATTTAATAACCTTCCACCTAGCTATCTAGCGGACAGACTTAGTTATCAAACGCACTCCAGGAACTTGTGGTCCGCATCTCAGCAGCTATTAGAACAACCTCGAAAACTCACGGGGACAAGACTTTTTCAGTGTGCGCCCCTGAACTGTGGAACTCGCTACCATTAGCTGGATTTGCGCAAGGCAAAGTCTTCAGCTAGTTTAAAGAAAGAACTGAGAACATATCTTTTTACGCAATTTTTAAAGTGAGTAAGTCAATATTTTTGTAAAACGTCTTTAATATCTGCAGATCATATACTTATACTTATAGAATGTATATTTAGTTTTTTACAGGACTTATTATCATTTATTTTAATATATATAAACTTTAATGGCAAAATAATTTTAAAACATATGAATTTTTGTTACCTTCTCTTGTTCTTTGTGAATTGCAAATAGATTTTACTATATGTTATTTCATGCTCGAGAGATTATTTTTTTTACTCTTTAACATTGTAAAGCACCATGAGTTCAGGATATGAGCGCTATAGAAAGAAACTGTTTTTACTATTATTAATTTTAACCGATACGAAAATAAACTCAGTATAGTCATTCATAATTGGCACAAAATGTGAAGAGAGAATGTGGCTTTCGACAACACATTTATCACCAAGAAGAGTTTAAATCTTCACCTAAACCTGTCGTGATTCAAATTGTACACAATTTCCCCTAAAAACGGCAATTTATTCTAGCAGATACTTACAGTCCATGAAAAGACACCTTCAAGCTGCCATCTTGAAAGGCCATTTGGGACTGAGGACGCATCTGAAAACATCTTCCCTGGATTTTCCATTTAGTTAACTTGTTTTTGTCATGGGTTTCAATAATAATACAATTCATTTTTTCATTTTCATTTCTTTCATGTGATTTTCATCAAAATAATGGCAAAAAACAAGGAATTGATATTTTTAGCACAGGGCACCCACCATGGTATATTATTATTGCTATATCATTAATTTGACATGTCTTAGTCATTGGTTTCAATAATAATAGTATTAGTACAGTTTCTTTTTCCATCTACTTGCCTTTTTATGTGATTTTCATCAAAGAATGGCAAAAAACAAGGGATTGCAATTTTCAGCACAGGCCACCCATCATGGAAAGTAGTTGAAGAACTTCAGCAAGCAGTTGCTGCAAATCCTGAAGAGGTAGTTGTGGGCACCGATCCTAATATTGACTGACATGCCCTAAGCTACAACCATGCAAAGTTTGGTGCTTTTGTCCGCTCTGTATAGATCTCGCCAAAATTTTGCACTAAGCCACCGGACTAAAACAAAGTCTCTCAACCAGGGCGTAAGAAGCTGGTTTAGCTGTGATGCGGAGTAGGACTGGAACTAGTCCGCTTTCCGCTCTCGATCCGCTGTCAGGGCAAGAAAAATGGCGCCGTCTAGCTGAAGGTAGGTTCGGATTTATTGCTTTATATCTTTAGATCGCTGCAATCTATAATTAGATTTGATATTTGGCGTATTTCTATGCGATATACAGAAAATATTTAGGTGATATTTTATAGTTAGTTTTATAGGTTAAGGTGTTTTTTCGCCTTTTATGTTTATGTCGTGTCAAAATGGCCTATCGAACATTACCCGTTGAAGGTCGCGTTTTATCTTGCCAGTCAAAACCAAATGATAATAAACGGCTAAAAAAAAATATGTCATGGTTTTATAAATTTTGTTTGTTCATGCAAATTTTTAGAGTGAACTTTTATGGACCTTTAAGGTTTTTTTACTTCTGAAGTGACGACTTCATAATGGCGATATTAGCTTGTTAGTAAAATAAAATATTTCAGTTGCCCAATTTAGCGATTTTTCTTTTTTTGATACACACTAAGATGGAAAATAATTTTTATTTGGGCGTGGCCCAAATAGAGTAATGGAAACGGCTTGTTTTGACGCAAATGTGCAATAGGCACGCAATACGTGCTAACGTAAACAAGGCAAGTAAACAAGCGAAGCGAGGCGAATGTCTGCCATGCGAACGTCTTGTACAAGGTAAGAAGTATGTGGGAAAGAAAGCTCTGCTTGCACACGGCACTTAATCGCACTTTTACGATCTCTAAAGTTAATCTGAATCTTCAATATTTTTGCCTCATCGAAATTTGGAAGTCTGAAGTCCAGGGATGAAATCTATCAAAAATATTTGGAATATTAACGTCGGGTTTTGGTCACAATAAGATCGCAAGCAACGAAACTTGAAACACGGAAACACAAAAAACGGATCGAAATCCACCAATCACAATTCATAAACAATGACCTTTTGAACCCGTTGAAGAAAACTTTCGTTTCCTAAGAGGTCCGCTAAGATGATTGACGTCTGACATTTTTTGACGAGAGGATCGAAATGCACCAATCATAGAAAGACAGTTTTAATTGCATGTTTCCTAAGAGGTCATCTGAATTTGCTGTTTTCTTTTATTTTACGTCCATTTTTGTGATTGGTCGATTTTGTTAGGTCGAGTGGATGATCCAATGAGGGACGATCTGGATATCGTTTGATCCGAAAGTTTTCGAAGGAGAAGTGAGAAGCAGTTTGGATAACATTTGGCCGCGGCGTTTCGGGGAACGTGTTAATAATCATGTTATCCCGGGTTAAACTTTCAAATGCACACACTGTTCGCGGTAGGCCCACACTAAAAAAATAACACTGAGTGTTTTCGGAATGGGCTGGTCCGCGAACTCAAAGAAAAACAAAGGAAATTATCAAGACATTCAATGACATGAAAGACTCATGCACCCCATAGACGTAATAACAAATCGGAATGTCAGGAGTGTACGTGTAAAATGGATAAGAGTTTTAACAGAGGAATGTTTAACAAGTTTGAGAGTCGCAAGGTTTGTGTAGCTGGTTATTACTGTGACAATAGTGATTTTGATTTCGAGTTGCCCGTGATAAAAATCTGTTCCGATGAAGGAAGAGACGATTGTCAACAATTGAAACCAAAAGGGACTGAGGCTTCTTTTGGAACTACTGTGATGACTGCAACAATTCTTTTTATTATTTCAATTTTGTTTTGCAGGGTGACGGTTGATGTACTTGTTTTTGTATTGCGTGTTGTGTTTTTTTCATACGATGCTGTGCGTCGGGATTTTGCATTATCAGCAAGTTTTGTGTTAGTGTTTTGATGGCAGCGAGGTGATGTCAAGAGAAGGTAATGAGCTAGTTGTACAGAAGGAAAATTGTGTTGTGGAGGAAATAAAAGAAGTTGAATTGAGATCTCGTCGTGGGAAATTTATTTATAACAGAACTTACAATTTCATTGGTTTAAACCAGGTTAGTCCATTATATTTTCGCTGATTTTCGTCATGACATATTACCATAAAATCGAGATTGTAATTCGAAACTCGCGTTGTTTTCAAAATTTGCATAAATCGGCCGCTGCAAAGAAATATTTAGGTTACAAGCGCTTCCAAATACTGTACTTTCAGAGCGGCATAGCTTTTACTTGTTGTGCTATATCTTTCAAAACTATCGATCGATTCTAGCTCAAAACTCTCAAAGCAGCGGTTTAAATGTTAAAGCCCGTTGCTGGTTGAAATCGTCTCTTGTTTGTTTTCAAACGATTTAGGATGGATCGAACCGACATTGGATCGATTATTATTTTATCAGCTTGTGGTATGAACGAAACCTTTTTCTTCTCGATAAAGTTCACTGAACAAATTTAGAAAGATTTACTTGACTTTTCATATGTGGAACGAACTGACTTTTTTGTGGAACGAACTGACTATTTTATGGAACGATCTGACTATTGATTGGAACGATCTGACTTCGAACGATATTAACGATCTGACCATGGAACAAAATGACCGGTTACCGTCATGCCCCTAGCAGACTACCAATGAACAAATTAAAATCTTTGTTACAGAAAACACTGAAAGTGACACTTTTTATATGGAAGAGTATTCGAAAAATACACCATTGTCCTCTGAAATTCATTGTTACGTTAAAAGTAGAAAAGGTTTACACTTGAACAGGTACAGAAGTAACAGTAACAGTGTGAAGTTTTTACTTAAGGGACAACTACAAAACTAGTTCGTAAACGAGGGAAGGTGTATCTGTCGTCCAAGCAGCAGAGCACAGGCGATTTAGGTGGAATGAGATATCCAAATAGGCTTCTAAGTAAGAATTCGCCCCTCTGTACATGTATTATCCATTTTATAGTGCTTATTAAAACAGTTTGAATCACCGGGTTAATTTTGGCCAATTTAAGCTTTGTACTGATATAGAGAAGAATCCAGGACCTTCAGTTTATTTAGGTGCTACAAAAACAATTAATGCTCCATACTGTCAAGGAAATGTTACAGGATTTGGGGAAAATGGTGGACAACGATGTGTCGCAATGAGTCTGTGCGCTTTAATTTACAGTAAGATAACAAAGATGACTTCAGTTGATGATATGACTCAAATAATGATTGTTGGTATTCAATTATATTCTTGTCTGTCACTGCTTGCAAGACAATCTATCTCAATGTTAACAGAATTGCCAGGAATGGTTACAGTGTTTGAGCAATTTTTCCACCTTGAATACAGTGACAGTTATACTTGTAACATCCATCACTACTGTATATGCCACTCACACGTTACAGCATTTCAAACACTCTTGGCACTGAACTACAACTCGTTCATTTTAACGGTGGCAATTATTGGTGTTGGTATCTACAGCACTGAGGCTGGGGTATAATGTATTTGATTTTCATGCTAGAGATATGAATAATAACAGTCATAGTGAAGGGACATGTTGGAAATACCATCCATGCATAAATTAGTACAATATTTTCAGACTCTGCATAGGAATGAGGATATATATGAACTTAAAGGTGTACATATTGCCACCTTTGAACCTCATCTTTTCTCAAGCAATGTTGAAAATTGTAGTGTAAATGTCAATAGTTACCAATGTTCCTGTAAACAGTGCTGCCCTATAGCAGTTTATGCAATGTTTTACTCTCTTATTAATCCTTGTGGATACTGGACTAGTTAAGGAACTTTATTTGCCCTTGTTAGTAACCGGAATACACTGTACAAAGTTATGGTTGTGAAAACACATCTGTCAGTATCAGTGGAGCTGAGATAAACCTTACTCTCTGGGCCGTAACCACTTATGTCCTATGTCGCAATTTGGCTCCAAGCATGTCTGCATTGAAGATGTGCATATTTTCAAACACTGTCGTGAGATGACACTATTTTTGTTCTGGTTTGGGACATACTGTATAAGCTGTGTGGTTCAGCAAACAAGTGGAGTAAAGGATTTGTCTTCTCTGGTTAGATATGATGACAGTTCTTTAGCTGCAATAAGGCATGTTCAAAGTATCATACCATAGTACGACCATGCCCAAATATACGCTCACACAGCGTCTTGTTTTAGTTACAGAACCGCGATCCAAGAAGGTTCTAACTATTTTGAAAGTTCTACTAGAAAATTGGAATGATC